GTCATCCGCCGACCAAGCGGGGCGGGGCGTCTGATACTACAGAATGCGAACAGCGTCGCGATCCGGCGGGCCGTCATGTGCAGGTAGGCAAGGTAAAGTGAAGTAACGTATGTATGCACTTTACATATAGGCATGTGGTGAAAGGGTAGGTAGGACTGATCCCATATCGTGAGATGTGGGATCAACGGACCCGGAGCCCCGGAGGGAGGGCAATCTGCATCTTGCAGCGAGCGATGTTACTCGGCCTCGAAAGCGACGGGAGCTTCACATATGACATGGATAGTCTGACAGGACTGACTCTTTGACAGGTCATAGGCGCCGGCGGCTAAAGAAGACGGACGGGTGATGGGTACACGCGAGGTGGCGCAAGTCAACTATCAAGCGACGGATAGGTCGTGTGCCCGGTCTTCAACGCAGGTAATCCATAGCATTCCCAGCACAAGGCAGATCAGGATCAGGATCTCCGCGAAGAAGATGATGCCCGTTAGCCACGAGCGGGCGGCCGTAAGGCGAGCCATAGCCAATGACCATGAGGTTAAAACTGCCCGAGGGACCTCTTAAATGGAGTCATAGGAGGCCGCGGGAAATCCCATCGACGGCGTTGATCAACGCATCCTTGAATACGTTTGGTGCCTGGGCACCCTGGACCGGCGATGGGCGATGTATGATGTGGTAGCTCATAAACATGGGAAAGGAGGGGAGGGAATGGGCTGCTGCGTTTGGATGGCAGGAGAGTCATGTTGCTTCTCCTGTATCATGAAGACATCAATCCCTAGTTGAGATCGAAAAAGAGGGGGGATGAGTGGGTGGATGGATGGACAGTAGCAGAGAAAGTCGCTGCGTGTCAAATGAATACCGGCTAGTTTGCCCTCATCCCGTGGTCCGACACGCCTAATCGTGCGAATAGACGCTTTAGGTTGAGGGAAAGGTAGACCTGAGCAGACCGGGCACTCGGATACAGCTCCATGTTACCTGTCCGAAATTCTGTCCGGCGGTTCCAGCACCAACAACGCTTCTTCACAAACCTTTTGATTCGGCCGTCAAGTTGCAAAGGCCGAAGCGTAGCTCTGAGCTGCGTTAGTCTCGACTTCTCACAGTTCTGGATGGGCCCGGAACGTGGGAATGATGGAGACAAGCCAGAAGGTCTAGATGTCAGATGAGTTCCGGGTTCATGGGATATCCATCGACTTCTAAACGTCGTAGACAAAAAGCCCCTATATACCCTTCAAAGGTCAGACCAGGGTAGAGCCTTGATGCAAGCAATGGCATGCCTGCATTGAATAATAGGAAACATGGGAGAGTCTCGCGAAATGGGGAAATGCAGAATTGGGGGAAAGAAACTGGATAACTGGACGTTTGGGGGAGCTTTCCTTGCGCTTTGATCCTGTGCCTCTGCTGCAAGTTGCAGAATAAGGGAGGACTTGGACCAGCTTTCTGGGATGAAGCTCTGCATTGGCAAAGGAAAAAGGTCGGGCGGGCCTGAATGCAACTTGTGCCCTCCCCCCCTCTAATGCCACAGCTCCCTCCCTTTCCTACAATACCTCAGCTGAATATGCCCTTGATCAGTTGAACACAGCGTGCATGCACTTCTCTGCCGTGCTTCTTCTGTGCTTCTGCTGCCACGCCTTTGTCGCTCTCTCTCTCTCTCTCTCTCTCTCTCTCTTTCTCTCTATGCCTTCACGGTCTCTACTAACGCGTCCCATGTGCTCTGATGTCCGGACTTGACTCCGCACTAGCGTTTGACGCTAGAACTGAACACAACCGAGCGGACAACGGTTCTGGCTCGAGTCAAGAGCATGGGAACCCCGGGGGCGCCGGCTGTTCCCCAATTTCTTAGTCACAAGTACGTTAGTAGGTCCTTTTGCTCTCACCAAGGGGCGCCGAAAGTCGATCACAGAAGCTGCAAAGTGGGCGGCGTGGGAGGGAGAGCCGACGCCAGGGTCGGCCCCTGTGTCGGGAGCTAATCGACGTGTTCCGCAACGGAGTCCGTCGCCGATCGTGGAGAGCCAAATCCTCCGAAAGTTCATGTTCCGACTGGAGTCTGGCTAGATCCCGGGAAACATACTTCATGTCTCACAGAACTGAGAGGTCTTGGCCCTGGCGAGTTCTGGCCAAGGGGGGCTTGGGGGCCACGGCGCCAAGTATCGTGTCTTGTCTTGTCAGCTCGACACCACTCCTATCCCCTTTCATTCGGTGATTTATTTTGCCTTTCCCAACATACAACCCACAAAGGGGGGTGGGTGGGATGGAGGCGGTAGACGCGGGCAAAGAGAGTCCAGAGCATTGGCGTTGCTGATTGAGGTGAAGCTCTGGGTTAATGCCGGCCAAAGTTTGCAAAGGAGGGAGGATACCAAACACTTGAAGCCAACACCACATTGTGACCGGTGCCAACCACGCGACTAGGACGGCTTCCCAGGACCAAGGAAGCTCCGCCAGTCCGTCAAAGGAGAATCCGAGGACAACGGTCCTGCTATTGCTCCTGCAGCAAGTGCTGCTACAGATGCTACAGCTTTCTTGGCAGCCCGCCGCTGACCGCTGCTGCTCGGAGCCCGAAAAGGAACATCCTCTAGAATGGCTCAGATACCACCTGGGCACGTTTACGAAACCAGGGACCGGCCGGTCAGGCATCCGTCTGATGTCGCGATGCATTTCATGCTGCCCTCATGATTCGTGTTGCGACGGTGGGCGAACGTGCACCTGGGATCCGCGCCACCACACACACCTCCCTCTCTGCTTGGCCAGTGAACACCTTTCCATATGAAGTAGTTGACCGCCGCTTCGTGTGGTTGGTAAGAGGGAAGGAGAGGTAAGGCGAGAGAGCTCTGGTTTCTGCTTGTCACTCAGATCAAGCTTATCGAAAGTTACTGTTATTGCTGTCGCTGCTGCTTTTCCGGCGCGCGCGCAAACGAGCTCCTCTTTCAGTCGTTCTTTTCTCTTACTTTCCCTTCCCTTCTCCCGATCCTCCGTTTACTTACGAAGCCTTACTCTTTGAAAGAGACATTAAGTAGAGCTGCCTCCATGCAGTCAGGAAGCAACGAGCCAGCCGCTGCGGCGGCGGCTGCTGCTGATATCACCAGCGACAACGAAGGCGCGCAAATAACATCGTCAAAGGCAAGCTTCGAAGACGCGCCGCAAGAACAGCCACCCAGCACCTCGAACTCGGGCAAAAGCCATCCGTCCGAAGACAGAGCTCCAAGCGAGGATGACGGAAGAGACAACCGCAGCAAACCAGCTTCACAAAAGGTTCCGAGCAGACAACCATCCGTCGAGGGAACCCGGGCAGCAGTCGTCGCAGGATCATCATCGCAACAGGGAAGCCGAGCCGGATCCCAGCAGGGCAGCAGGAGGGGTTCCAACGAAGCGGCCGTGGCCGGCGGCGGCGGCACAGCCGACGCCCCGACCGCTGCGTCGGACGCGGCGATCGCCAGGGAGCGCGCGCCCGGCGACGAGAACCGTGAGGCATTCCGCGACTCCACGATCACGGCCGTCAGCGAGAGCACGGCGCAGATGCTCGGTCGAGACGGCGTGCCAAAGACCACGACTGATCCGGCGGCGGCAGGAGTCCTTGCGGGAACGGGCGAGACCCCCGGCGACGACGACGAGCTCGAGCCCCTGACAAAGTACGTCGACTGGACGGAACACATCTCCATCTCCATCGGCCCGTTTGTCATTCTCTTCTTCGATCTCGCGCTGCCGGTCTGCATCTACTACAGTTGGCTTCGCGCCCGACGAAACGATCGTCGCGCCGCGTGTCAGTCTGCCTACGACGCGGGCGTGGAATGCGGACTCCCTCCCGTCCAGACGGTTGAGAGTAGAATTCTCGGTTTTGCCATTATTGCTTTTGGTTTCGGAGAAGTGTACATCCTCATTGTGCGAGTATATCGACTCATCGCCCGCTTCGACGAGTGCGCGCCGCTGCTGTCCAAGCACTGGTGGGAGCTGGACGCTACGACCTGGGTTTACGCGCTCGGTCTGATTGCCGCCTTGGTCCCCTTTGTCTGCTCAACCACAGTTTACGAGCCGGACGTTGTCGAGTGGCTGTACCTGTACTCTCCCGCCTTCATGTTCATGGTCCTGGACGTCATTGCCTTTGCGACGTTGATCCCGATCAAGATCCCGTTCCGTATCAACTCGGATCCCAAAGGCACACGTCTCAAGCCCATCGTCTACTATGCCGCCGAAGACTTCTTCGCCGTCGACGGAGCGCAGAACAGGGAATTCCGCAAAAGATATGTCGAGCGGTACAACAAGTCGATGATGTTCCGCAAGATGATTCTTGAGTTGACGCTCTTCTGGATCGGCGGCTGCACGGCGTACATTGGCTACGTGGCCGGCATCATTTGGAACCTGGAGTTTGAACGCGCGTTTGGCACGACGTTGGGCGTCTTGTTTGGATGGATTATAATCTGGGGTGTCACTGCGAGATTTTGGATCGAGTACGCGATCAAACGCGAGCAAAAGTGGTGGAAAGAGAACAAGGCCGAAAGAAACGCGGCCAAGCTTCAATGAGCCTAGTATTTAATCACAGTTGAGCCCTCCCTGGTGAGAGAGAGAGGGAGAGACAGACGGAAGAGAAGCAGTCAGATGGTGGCGAAGAGAGAGGGGAAAGGGAGTGGCTCATTACTGTAACCTAGTGTTAATAATGGCACTGCCAAGATCATGTACTTATGGAGGACGCATGGGTTCTGACTGACAAGACAAGGCACGAGAGCCTGGATACCCAGGAAAAGAAAGATACCGAGAGGGCGGATTTTTGCGATTAATAAGTAAATCATTTCTTGCTTCTAGACATTGCTCAGTGGTCTCATCAGTTTTATAAGGGTATGATCTGATTAGATCTCAGCATGGAAGTACACGATAAGTGATCTGAATAGAATCAACTCAACATCTACCGACACGAGATGGCATCCATCCATCAACGGCGCTCATTTCAACTACAAAGTAAGCGAAATGGCAAGGTTAACAGGTCTCCCACCTCGAAACAGCGAAGGGCGGCCTTCCTAGAAAGCCAAGCCTGGCCCAGGCTCCCAAGTTCGTGGCAGCATGGGCCGCAAGACGCACAGCGGAAGAGAGTTTTGGGACCCGAGGCGAGTAGCTTCTGTGGATGTGTGAGAGAAAGATGGTGTGGTGTCTCGTGGGATGTCGCGATGTGATCGAGGCAGCTCGAGGCCCGCGGGACGGCGGTCGGGTCCCCCATTTCTGATTTTCTGGGGGAAGCTCTGGACTCCCGTTCGAATGAGGCGAAGAAGAATCAAGGAGGAAACCGTCTCGCAACCATTCGCAGGTACGTACTGGAGTTGTGAATGTTTCGTGGTGGCGTTGCACAAAATGGAGTTGTGCATTTTATGTAACTCTGCAGCGCGCCTACGTTTCCCATCATGAAAAATCCATGTTTCTAAACGTCTCATTCATCTGTGTTGGTATTGAGGATGAACATGCTTATGCGCTCCGCGATATAATGCCGCTAGATGATGACAGCGGGTAGAGAGTCATAAAAACATTTATGCGCCTCACCGCAGCATCTGCTCACTCATGATAAGCGTTTACAGAGATCCTGCCTCATCATGAGACATTTCTTACAACATAGCCCAACATGTACAATAGATGAAAATCCGAAGCGGCAAAAGAGGCAATCAGACGAGAAATTCGATTCACGAAATGAAGTTGGATTGGTGTTTGGGATTCGAAGTCGTCTCGAGTCTCGCTTCATTCTCATCTTTACTCGAAAGAGGGGTCTCACTCAGCTGCTCTTTCAGCCGCATCGGATGGAACTCCCCGATTCAATCTTCATCATCCAAAAGCCTCATACACTCTCCATTGAACAGCTCACACAAACTTCAGACAAATTCGCCCCAATTGACAACTTCACACAATGAAAAAGGTTGACCCGTGTGAAAATCTGCTCATCTCCCAAGAGTCACCCATCAAACAATGTAATTTACTCACGGCAATCCCACCGCCAATCGCCCCCCCCACTGCCTCCCGCCAAACAACTCAACAAGTCTCCCGCGACGAGACCAAACTCGGCGGTGCGTCCAATTCCCGATTGTACCCGGGGGTCCAGTCCGGATTCCCTCCCGTCCAATCCCACTAATCGGGTCTGAGCCTGGCGGGTTTTGAGAAATCTCTGCGAACTATGTAATTAGTCTGCGAGGTCTACCAATTGAAGCAAGAAGACGGCGCAAATGAGGGGCATGAGGTGACGGCTTCATCGCTGACCTTACCTTTCTACTGGGACCTAGTGTCGCTCGGCTTCTAGACGATGAATGCGACGTGCGTGGGGGGCTCTTACGAGGTTTTACAAGATCGCCTGCGAGTTTATTTCACTCATAGTCTCAGAGCTCACTCATAGTTCGTAGACAATCCCACAATGCTTGCCTTACAACTTGCAGAAGGGGGTCTAACCTACGCGGAACAAACCGCTCATCTATCGCCAAGATGATTTGCTCATGAGATCTTTTTTTTTTTCCACTCACTTTTGGACTCATCTCACACACACACCCTCCATTCCAGCCCAGTTCCCAAGAAGACTAAATTCTAAAATCATCGTTAGCCTTTCCCCTGCCGTTTTAATCCGCGCATCGGCTACGCCCTACCCTCCAATGACACCGCCCTGAAGACGACCGACGAGAGAGTTCAGCGCACTCATCCCCCCTGTCAACTCGAGACTCAACTCACTTCCTCTCCTCCAAAAGTAAACCTTTACCATCCCTCTGAAACTCGTCCCATCGCCCCCAGCATTGGGGTAAGGTGACCCCCCGCTCGTCCGCTACCGCACCGTCCGGCGTCCCAGGTGATAAGATCCCGCAAAATGAACCCCGAAAAGGAACTCCTTCCCGCCACCAGCGCCGGCCCCGCGCCGGTGTCCCAAACGCCCGGTCCCGATCCCGACATCGAAGCCTCCCATTCCGCTCTCGGTGCCGGCCCCGATGAATCTCACTACCGTGCCGGCAACGACGACGCCCTCGCCATGGTCGGGATACACAGCCAACCCTACGACCCCGCCGTCGCCGCCCGCGCTGTACGGAAGATAGACTGGTTCCTCATACCCGCCATGATTTTTGGATGTCCGTCACACTCTCACTCTCTTTGAGTTTCTTCAAGTCTTCCCTCATCCTCTCATATGTGCTCACCACCTTCATCATCCTCGATCCATCCCTAACGCGCAACAGACGGCCTAGTCTACTACGACAAAGCAATCCTAGGCTCAGCAGTCCTCTTCGGCATGACAACAGACCTCCACCTCTCCGTGCCCCTCCCCACCGGAACAGGCGTCGACACATCCCGCCTCTCCTGGGCAACCTCCCTCTTCTACTTCGGCATGCTAGCAGGCCTCTACCCAATGACCTACGCCCTCCAACGCTACTCCCTAGGCCGCACCCTCGGCACAATCGTAATCCTCTGGTCCGGCATCTGCATGCTCACCGCCGCAGTAACCTCTCACCAAGGTCTCTACGCCCAACGCTTCTTCCTCGGCTTCGTAGAATCCGTCATCCCCACGGGCTTCATGTGCATCGTCTCAGGGAACTACACCCAGGCGGAACAATCACTCCGCCAGAGCTGGTGGTTCAGCGCCACGGGCCTCTTCACCATCATCGGCGGCGCCCTCAACTACGCCTTCGCCCAGGTCCGCGGAGGCGACCTCAAACCGTGGCAGTACATCTACCTCCTCGCGGGATGCCTCACATTCCTCTTCGGCCTAGCCTGCTTCCTCCTCCCCGACTCCCCCGTCTCGGCATGGTTCCTCACCCGCGAAGAGCGCTTCGCGGCCGTAGAACGCCTTCGCCACGGCCAAACCGGCGTCCGCTGCACGAAATTCAAGCCGCACCAACTCCGCGAAGCCCTCCTCGACGCCAAAACCTGGCTCGTGGCGCTGATGATGGCCTCCGCCTACACAATGAACGGCGCCGTCTCCGGCTTCGGCCCGCTCATCGTCTCAACCTTCGGCTACACCTCACTGCAATCGATCCTCTTCCAGTTCCCCCTCGGCGGCCTCTGCTTCCTCGTCATCCTTGCGACGGGGTACATCGGCACGCGCTACACCAACGTCCGCGTCGTCATGCTCGTGACGTGCTGTCTGCCCGTGATAGCAGGCTGCGCGCTCATCTGGCGCTCTGACTGGACGCACCACGCCGCCGCGCCGGTGGTGGGCTACTCCATCACGGGCTTCTTCGGCGGGGTGGTCAGCCTCGTCATCACGCTCGGCATGTCCAACGTCGCGGGCCACACCAAGAAAAGCTTCATGGCGGGGACCATCTTCGCCGCCTATTGCGTAGGCAACATTGTCGGCCCGCAACTCGTAAAGTCGCAGAGTAAGGCATCGCACTACCCGGAGCTGTGGCTCGGGCTCATCATCTGCTATGTGATTTGCATCCTGGCGTCCGGGGCGTTGTACTACGTGCTCTGGAAGGAAAACAAGCGACGCGATGCGTTGCCTGTGGATGAGGAGGAGCGAGCCAAGCTTGCTTTTCAGGATTTGACGGACAAGGAGAACCCCTATTTCCGCTACGTGTATTGACAAGATAACAACTTGTCTTGCGTGTTTCAAGAGAAACCATAAACTACCCATTCGGATTGTGATCGGGTTGAGACTTACTTGTTCGAGAAGTAGAAACACCGGCTGCGGAGAACCAAGCTCACAGCCTAATGCTAATGCGGTATCAAATCACGAAATAATCAAATATCTGCAAAAGTGCTTCGAATGTCTTCCCGATCGATCCATACATCGGGGTATCATGAATTATGCAACATGAACAGCACATCCCTTCATGAGGATGCCCATCTAGCTAGAAATACAACCATGATAAGCCATGCGCCAGAGCCGGAGCCTTCCGTCCCATTGCTTTTTGGCCGCGGTATGCCCCGTTTCCGTTCGTCATGATAGTTGGCCCAAAATGATGGTGGGCAGAGAAGTAAATACGATCAAATCCCCAGTCATGCTATCAGAGCATGAAGGCCGGTTACGCCGAACCATCCAAAACGCCGTTCTCTATGCATGTGTCTTGTCCGAAAAAAAAAAATAAAACGCCGGAAAACTTGTCCATGAAAATCATTACTCCGTTTCCCCTTTATATCTGCCCAAAGCGTATCCCTTTCTTCGTTTTAGTGTAAATGGCAGACGCTCGCTCATCTGGGCGACCTTGGAGGGTTGCTTGGTAGCTCTGCCGGCATATTTTCGTCCCCGCGTCCGTCGTTCAACTCTACAGGCGAGTGTATGGTGCCGGGAACTGGTGCTGGTGGAGGCGGTGGTTGCTGAGGCGGGTATCCGGGTCCTACAGTTGCGCTTCCCGGTGGTGGTGTTGGGTAAACACCTGGTAGATCCGCCTTGCTGGGCTGTATTGGTTGGACCATGGGGAACTGAGGGGATCCCATCATGCTGCCAGACTGACCCGTATGCTGAGGTCCAATGGGCACCTGCTGCTGGTACATGCCGTAATTCTGGGCCGGCCAGACACCGCCTTCGGGGGGCGGTTGTTGCTGAGGTGGCTGCGGAGGCCAATTGCTGCCGGGAAAGTACGCCGGTTGGAAGCCATGGGGTGGCACAGAGTTCGGCGGAGATGGGTTCGTTTGCGAGTGCGGTGATTGTGCGTACGGCTGGCCGTAGTAGGCGTATGCGTGGGGATGTTGAGGAGGCGGGTACTGGTTGTTCCAGTGAATGTAGGTCGGGACGGCGGAAGTCATTTGGGGAGAAGCGACCATCTTGTCCCCTTCGGCCTGGATAGTCTTTTGCGAGTCGGTGGTGCTAGGTGCCTTTTCCAACTTTGCTTTACGTAACGCATGAAGAGCGCGGCCTGTCATAATCAGTCAATGGTCCTTGTCCTTCAAGGCTCTCTACCATGTCAGTAGTTAGGAGATCAAAACGTACCAAAGACACTAATGGTGATAACGAAGAGCACAAGGTTGACGACAGAAGTAGCTGTGCCGGCAAACGTAGCAGCTACGAAGCCATCGGCAAACGGCTCAACGTTCATCTTATAATACACTTCGTACTTGGGACCGAACGTTACGATGAAGGCATCGAGGGAATCAAGATCATCTGCGTGACTAGCAAGCAGGGCCATAGTAATCAACCAGAAGACGACAGTGAGTAGCTCGAGGCCGCTGCGCACAATGTTAGTCGGGGCGCTTCTCCCAGTTTGCGGGGGGTTTCCTTACAGATGCACCCAGCAGTTGTACATGACGGGAATAAACATGACGGCTACGCCAAGCCATGTCAAATAGGAGAAGGTCCAGGCGAAAGCAAACCATGAAAATGCTATGCGCAACATTAGTAATGGCACACAAGAGCAGGTAGAGGCGGGGATGGTGGTGTTACGTACGGAAACCCTCTGTACCGCTAAAGGACTGCATCGTAAAACGCAAACAGTCAGTAAAAGTGAACCAAAAGGGCGGGATCCAAGCAGAGGCCAGATCAGAGGCCAAGAGATTCTCGAACATACCGTTATCCTGCGATAGCCCGTGGCTTTCTGCATAGTGGTGAGTCCGAAGACTGTTATTCCCAACGTCGCAATGGCGAGGACCTAAGATTTCAAAACCGTCAACGTGATGTTCGTCCAAGTCATTTCGCGTACTCCGGTTTCCCTTTAATGTAGTTGGGGCTAGGAGTAGTGCCCTTACAAGCTGTGCAATCCTGACGCCTGCGATCCAAACCGGCATGGCCGGAACATGAGAGCGGTTCCTCCCATCGTTGGGCCAAATATTCTTGGTCAAAAAAGACATGGGCGAGGATGCGAGAGGTTTAGACCCCTTGGGTTCAGGTTCGGGAGACTGGGTCCTCGTCGGCTGACCCGGTGCCTCACGAGGAGACGGGGCGTTGTCGGGCCGTCGTGATGGCGGATCGGAGGCAACAGTCTGGAGATTGGTGAGCGGAATCGAATTGGGGTCGACCGGATCCTCGGTCGCGACGTCGTCCCTCGACGGGGAGGGGTCGCGGGGTGGTGGCGACGACGTCGTGGTGGTGAGATGGGGAGAGCGGTCGTTGTTTGTAGCTAGACTCGAACCAAGGTTGTCGTCGTTTTCGTCGCGAACAGTATGATTTTCGGGATGGGTCGATATTGGGGGCGGCGCAAGTGGTGGTGTATGAGGACCTATGTTGGGCGCGTGGAAGTATGTTTTCGCTGAAAGAAGGTTGGAGCCTGTCGGTCTCGAGGTTTTGTAGTTGGCAGCAACAGTTGCCAGAGGTCGTGAGGTTGTCGAGAGGGAAAAGGTAGGTTTGAGCTGGCGGTAAGGTGAAGCTGGCGGTGGGTGTTGGTGGTGGTGGTGGTATTGAAGGTGCTCGGTGAGGTGCTGCTTGCTGGGTACCTAGTAGCGGTGGTGTTTCTTTCGCCAATCGACGTCACAAAGGGTGGAATGGCGGAGGCTAAGGGCTGAGCGCACTGAGCAAATGTTTTTTTTCCCTTCGTTCCGTTCCTTCAATGCAACAGTAACGTCTTTTTGGGACGGTCAACTGCTCGGGGGGTGTGGATGGAGAGGAGGGGAGCCTGGTACACACTGCGTACTCCGTAGAACTAGTGTACCTAGACGGTAGGAGGGGGAGGGGGGTCCCGGTCCGATCAGAGGGAATTTGGCTGGTTCGCTAGCTGGCTGGCGGGCTGGGGGACCTTGGTGCTTGGGAATCTCTGGCGTCCACTACTGTTCGGGTAGGTGTGTGTGTGTGTGAGAGATAGAGAGAGTGTGTGAGTGAAGAGCTGATTGTTGGTCGCTGGAGCTTGAAAGAAGGTTGGCACCGGTGGTCGGGGGCGCTGTGGCTTTTCGTCTGTTCAGGATCTGCCTTTCCTGTCTGTGTCTAGACACTTTGATGTTGACGGGTGGTGAGATGAGTTGAGTTTGCTAGGGCCCGTTCTTTGGGACGAGAGTTGACGTCTAGTCGTCTGCGAGTGGTTTGCTGCTGGTCTAGGACTCTAAGGTAGTGCCGGGTGGTGGGAGGGAGCGGAGAGCATCGGCAGGTTTCCTGTCAATCCTGTGTCCCAGTAAGACTGTGTTCCTCTTGTTGATCTGATCTGGGAAAAGGCCGGCAAATGAATGGGTGTGTGGGCGGATGGAATGGAGATGGGGGATGGGGATGATGATGGATGTGATGGGGAAGTGGTCAATGGGTAATAGGAAATTGGGAGCACGGCTTGGGATTGGAGGGCGAAGGAAGATGGATCATGGACCACGAACCAGGACCTCGCCAGTCAAGGATTCGAGATACACTACATAGTATACGTACAAGTACTCCGTAGTAAGGTTGGTAGAGGTGAGGATGGAGGCAGATGCGAAGAGGAACAGACAGGAACGAAGCTAATCCATCTTGAGGTACTGAATAGGCACATGGATGGATAGACATGGTACAGAGCGCAGTAGGTAGGCAAAAGCGCCGAGGAAAAAACCTGATCTGAAGAGAAAAACGGCTGCGGCTCGCTATGCTTTGGGCGAATGGACGAATTGGAGGTGGCCAGGCTTTGCTTGTTTGTTCCGTCACCAGGTTAGGTACTGAAGCGTGTCTCTGTACCGTACCTTCTGTGCAGTACATAAAAGATGAAACGGAACACCGCTGCCGGCCGTCGACAGACGGAGAGACAGGCTCACTGTCTTTCGAGTATCCGTATTAGGTTGTGCTGGGCAAGGCATCGTGGCCGTGGTGGCATCCAACAGCAACGCAAAAAAAGTGGCCGGGGAAAGAGAAAAAAACCTGGAGCCACAGACTTCAATGACGAGAAGTGGATGATCCAATCATCAATCGAAAATAAAAGCGGGTTCCACCAGACACAGCGCCAAGAACAAATGCCAAGCTTCCACGAGGGCCAACATGCCAAGAGGAAGGAGGGGGGGGGGGGGCCTTTCTTTTGCTGTCTCTTGCTCTTTTTCATTTCTCTCCATCTCTCTCTCTTTCCCAATATTCTTCTCTTAGGGAAATACATCGACGAGGTACCTGACCTAAGGTGAGATACCTATGGAAGGTAGTCAGGCACGTGCCAGGTATACTATCATGGCATGGTGTCTCGAATGGCAAGAAACGAGCAATGCAACTGCCCAAAACCAAAGAAACAAAACGCAATGTGGAAGGAAGCTTGGGAAGAAATGAAGGAAGTCGGCGGGGAGGAGGAAAGACGGCCGTTGTCATTGGACTAGCGTCACCGCATGCCCCGCAACGCCAAGCGGCTGGCTGAATTGGGACGTCATGATTCGATAGCCAAACCCGCCTCTTGTGGCAAGTATCTTTTCGGCGTGATCTGTAGCGTCAAGTACTTTGAACCTCCCGTCGTTCCTGCTTTCCCGCCTTAACCTCTGACTTTCGGGAAAATTCAACGAACCGCACTGAGGAGACGGCCGCCCAATCACCAGACGGACGCATCCTCGGGAGTACGTATCTTTCCGGGGCTAGGAACACCCGGCATTCGACCGTTCACTACTCCAGGTACGTACCTGGCAAGCTCCAGCCGTCTGAGCGTATGATCTTCTCTGCCGCTGTCACCGTCAATTTGCACCTTGTTTTTCCATCTTTCGGCTTCAATTCCTCAATCCTGAGCTCCGCGGTTCCCGTTAAGATACCTTACGGATACTCACCGACACAACTCGATCAGCCTCGAGCATTCAGCATGATCGATATCCGTCCCCCCGAATTCCAACAAAGCTTCCACGATCCACCTACTCAAGGGCCAAGCACCGCCCTCAACATCCGGGAGAAGCTTCAGGTCGCTCTCCATCCCGGTCTGTCATCAAATCCGCTCACCATCAAGCCCATGTCCCGCCTCTGCAGAAGCAATACCCATGGCCCATGAGGTGGATGGAGGAGGGGTGGGCCGCATCGATAGGGTCCCGGTCGTGTGCTTCCAAGACCTCTCTCCGCCCAATCATCCTCGATCTCATCCACCCAGCGCCGCCCCAAACGGCATCGCTTTCTGTCCAGGCCTCTGATCACCGCCCCAGTGTGGCAGAGCCATGCACCCGTGGCACAACCACCGACGCATCATGGATCGATGGATACGCAGTACGGACTACGGAGCACACGACGATATCGCGCCTCCAGACTTTCCATTGAAGGCATTCCCTTCTTTTCCGCCCGTTGCTTCGACTTGGTTCGCCGCCACAGACTGAGAAAGTACTTGTTACGGCGTTTTTGCGGACCAACCCAAATTGCGCTCAATGTTCCTCGGGTTTATCACGCGGCGAACCTCTTCTTCCATCGTTCCCGATACGAAGTTTGTCTGGCGCAGTGTATCCCGTACGTACGGAGTTCAGAGTTCGGATACGCTTGCAGAGACCAACAAATACGGTCAATTTGCCCAAGAAACGCCGCCAAGCACGAGAGCCATCGCGCATGCGCTTGGATTGCTCGCCCTTGAAGACGTCCATTCAGGCTCTTGCGGCTCCTCTAGACACGACGCCACGCCCAAACACCATGTTGTTCGCACCAGCACGGATACTACCTAGTGATACCACGATAATCGATAACACCCTATCCCGTAGCACGATGCTTTCTTGCAAATCTCTCTGTGACTGTCACCTCACAAAGCGGTGGAGAGTCAGCAAGGCACATAACCTACACTAGCACACTAGATGCTGTGGGTGTGGCACCAGAGAGGCGCAAGAGGTCGGGGTGGTGTCCATCATCAGCACCTTTACTCAACGTCTTAGACATGCCTGCCAAGCGGAGAAGAAGAACGTTTTGTTGACGAGGGCCTGGCCGGCTCTGCTGCATTGCCTGCCACAGAGTGAAGGATATTCTTCTTTTTCTTTCGTGGCTCAAACGCCATGATTTCAGCACTTTGTCACGTACCGGCCCAGATGGCACAAATTGTTACGCCTTCAATCAAACACCAACTGACGAGCTCTTTGGGTTTGTAGCAGAGAATTGGCTACTCGTCACTCACAACTCCTGAAAACTTGAAATTCCGTCGGTTCCGCTGCGCTGCCCACGCCTGAGGGGACCGGCAAATGTCAGCAGGTCGGTCTTTACCCGGCCGTCTATCGGAGTCTCTCACCATGGTGCGCGGTGTATATCTCTTCCCCACGACCCCTCAGGCTCTTCGTTCTCGTCATGGATCGGTGGACCCTACAATCCACAAAATCAGAGGTTGTGCCGCCGGGTCAGCGAGGATAGACAGGCCATTCGCTGGAAACCTTCCGCTCCTGTGTCGAGCCAGGCAAGGGATGGGGAGGTGCAGCGAATTGGCCATAGGCCTCAGGAAGGCCATTGTCGAAAACGGAACAAAGCGCTGCAGCAAGATGCAGACGCAGGTCACAGGTTGCAGTGGTGTGCAACATTCTCGCACTGGACAGGTCTGCGACTCTCCGCCAAGGTTCAAGGTCAACCATTCCGCCAAGATCGCAAGAGAGCCACCGGATGGAAAGGAAAAGCGGGGGTTGGGCCCTCCAGGAAGCGTGCAAGATCTCCCTGCGTCTCCGCCAGAGGCCTCCGCTTCAAAGGTCACTCCTCTCTCGGGCACGCCGTCTCCTCCAAAGGCCAAGACTTCTGCCCAGCACTGTGGCACTCTCCCAACATCTCCACGTATTCCTCGAATCCTCTCTCAGACTCCGTATGGATACGTCCAGCCAGACTCTCGACTTCTGGGCGTTTGAGCCAAGCTCTGCTGCATTTGTCGCCCGATGGATCCCCCCCTCTGGCCACCGTCTTGACCGTCTTGTTGTTCCGTCTCGCTGCCTCGAGAGGTTCCAGATGCTCGATTTCGGGCCCCATGCCCTCCCCTGACTCGGGCCTCCGAGTACCCCTCCACGGCTCCGGTTGACGTTCAAATGAGGCCGGCGCTGTCTGCAGTACCACAGGCACAAGGTCGCGGTTCCTCATCACAGGCACCTGCCGATCCAACGGGCTTGGGCGTGGCACTCAATGGCATCCCGACCTCGCTTGCAATGCTGCCATGATGATAGCATCAGTGCGGAACACCCAATCTTATTTCCCACAACCCGTTGTCGAATTTACCGCCTCCCCAGGTGATCGGGTCGGAGCACGTCCCCTGCCACCCACAATGACGAAATGGTTCATTTCTGTCCCGTCACCAAGATGAGCGAGCAGCGATCGCAAGCAGGCCAACAAGCTCACGTCTCAAGCTCCATGCGGCTGGCGAGAAAGAAGGCATTGAAAAGTTTTGGGACTATTGGTGAAACGATTCAGCAGGCAAACACCCTTCCACCGCCAATGATGTCTATTGCAACCTTTTTGCAGCAGCGTAGAACTAAACATACCACTGCCCCGCGCGCCAAGAAATGCTGCGACCAGCGCAACAACGCACAGGAATCCGGGCACCACACCGGCACTTGATCGCTTTCCACGTCCACCTCTAAATGGTATACCAACATCAGAATGAACCTTGTGTGCGCAAGCGCTGTTTGTCTTCCTGTTGCCCAGCCGCCGACCCAACCCTAATCTGATTCCTGGTTCGATGCCTTGCTCGCCAGCAATGGTGCTCGTCGTGGGAGCTGACCGGACCATGGACCAATACTCCCGAGATAGCCCGGTTCACTCGATTAAGCTTAAGGTCCAGGCCAGGAACCTCAGGCGCTGGCAACGGCAGGCATTTTCCCAACCCCTCGCTTTCATCGCGGAGTTATCCCGAGCTTCCGAAGTGTTCTGTTCGTCCGTACCTGATCCCAGGTCATTGGACACACGGATTTTGCTACTTGGTATTGTCTACCTCGTTCTCGGTTCATATACTCACCATCGTTTCACCGTAGAAGCGAAACCGGAAGCGCGTAGTTGTCCTGAACAACTTCCACGACCTCAGCTTAAGTGCTACAGCCTGAGATCCAGCGACCTCGAGGTACAGATAGGTAGGATCAGTCGTTCGACTTTTGTTGAGCATTTCCGTGAGATACTGAGCATAATTGCTGCCCGAAATTTGCCATCACGTATGGCTCCGGGAAGTCGAATCATGTGCCTTGTCCAGACACCCACCGCAAGTCTTGGCACGCACTGATATGGCCCGCCGAGCAAATCGGAATGTGATCGCTCGGAATTTGCAGGATTAAGTCCTTTTGCAACTATCGCGCCATTTTTCTGCCAGAACACAGCGAGTTACCATGGTGCGAATATAGCTTGTTGCTATGGAGCACCAAAGCAGATACGGATGATACATCGATGTCGAGTAGTGGGTTTGACTCAATTTCTGCTCTTCACTCAGCCGTGCCTCGCAGGCTAGTTGTCGCGGGATGTGGGTGAACCGAGTTAGTCCATCACACTGACCATGATATCTGGAAATTCCTTCAAGTGCCAGCCCTACAGGGCGCATCAACTCTGTTGGGCAACGGAATGCTTCCGAGATGAACGCCTCCGCTATCAGCCCCAGATGCCGTCCGCTTCACTTTAATCTTCTATCACGCCCCAATGTAGAAGCTGAGATTCGGGCACAGGACTAAAGCAGATATGGGTACATGCGAACTTGTACGCATACTGGTACCTGAATCGTGCGCGTACTTGACTCACAGATCCGCATCGTGAGATTTGCCTGTATCCTCAGTGAACGTAGATGTACCTATCTCGGTGTTGAACAGATACTATTGTTTTGAATATCTGGCATAGAGTTTGGTACTGCATGATCCGTGATGTGATTGTGACGACGGCGAATGGGGCTCTTGCGAACATCTTGGCCGATCAACGGCGGAGATAGGCCAAAGAAGCAATGGATCAATTTGCTGTATTTTCCCTGGCTTTGGAACGATCAACTCATTCGGTGCTGCCGATTCGGACTGCACCTGCCTCAGTCTATATCACCTGGCTCTTGAATATATCGAGTCTGAGCAAAGTTCGAGTAAGGAGCATGGCGTGCGGGTGTTCTCGGTGCCGTTCCGACTTCGGCCTTGACCTCGGGGCTTGCGATGAAGTAGAGCAACTACCGGGACGGTGATGGTGCGGCTGCTGATGAGCTGGGCGGACTGGACTCCATGGTTGGTAGAAGTTTTACGGAAAGATGCATGTAAACACGATGACATGATCCCTGAGATTGTAGGACCGGGAAGTGTAGTGAATGCTTTTTAACTAGATCTGTTACAACTGTAACCTCGACGCTTCTAGGAGAGATATCAGAATCATTTGATGTTATCCGCTGAGGCAAAGTATGGCACTGATGTCCGGAATTACAGGATTTCTTCTTAAACATCATGTCCTGGGTGTGCAGTACGACGAACTTGTCAGTGTTCTTCTGTCCCTGTCAGTGTCAAACTTGAACTTTTGCCATGCTCGCTTGAGTGTCTCGATGCTGTTCTCCTTCGTCGCGGACTGATGATAAATAAGTATTGTTCGGCCTCATTTGTAGCATCGCATCTCTATCGACGGCATAGCAGATGGTGATCTTGTGTTGTTGGGATGATATTTTCATCTTAACTATTTCCCTCATGGCGTAGTTTCCAAAATCGAACATAGAGCTTAATGAAATGCTTGATCTACCTATCTTTAATATGTATGAGCCCCTGGACGTATCCGGGCAGCAGGTAGGACCGTGGGAATGGGATTTTTTAGCCTAGGGTGCAGTGACAAAGAAAGCCGTACGTAAGAGGTACGATATCGAAATATGTCTTCAGAAGATAGATATGTGATAGCTGAGTCGTACTGAGACATGAAGCGAAGATGATTGAATTAAAAGGTGTACCGGCGGAATCGTGAACCCGGTCGTGAAGATAATCGAAGCATAAAACAATACTAAAGATGCTGGCTAAGTCCTACATGGTTCAATCTCATTTTTCCAGCCGTGTCCAATCATTATCCATTTGACCCTCACGTTCATTTCCATCTCTTTTGTACCAGTCGCTGGCGATCCAGATAGAGTTGGCCTAATCTCAGGAGGTATAGACGTTGACGGTGGCTTTCAGGAGGTTGCTGAGGGTGGCAGTCACGCCGGTCAAACCAGACTGCGAGGTAGTGTCGATGTAAGGCGAGAGCGCAGCTCCGAGACCACCGAGATTCGTCGAGATCAGCTTGAGGTAATCGGTCTGACCAAGCGGAGCCAACGACGCGACAACGCCAGATGTCTTTGCCTTGTTCAACAGATCCGTGACCGTCTTGAGCGCAGGCTGGATTTCGTTTGTGAGCTTGTTGACGATGGCGGTCGAGTCGGTCGAGTTGAGGGCCAGGGTGAGGGCCTTTGCGTCGAGCAAGGTGGAGGAGGAGGCCGAGTTGAGGCCGGTTGTGTTTAGGAGGACCGCGGGGAGCTTGAGGATGTTGGCGACGCTGAGGGTGTTGCCGGTGGTGTAGTCGAGGCCGTTGAGGGTTGTTGTCAGCTTGAGGATGGAGCCTTGGAGGGTGTCGAGGTTGGCGATGATGCTCGCGCCTGTGCTTGATTGGGAGGGGAGATTGCCGAAGGGGAGGAAGCTGAGTGGCACTGGAGTTGCTGAGGATACTGAGAGGGCGGCGAAACCGGCGAGGAGGGAGGAGAAACGCATTGTGGTGTGTTTGTGAGGTTGATGTTGTGTGAGTGAGTGAGATGGATGTTGTCCTGGGTAAGGTGAAGGGGGCACAGGCGAGAGTATCTTTATTAATGCTTGTCCAAGGCCGTTGCTGAAGTGCTTGAGAGCTGAGAGTTCTCTTAGACTGAAGGAGGACGCAACGTCTGTATTTATTCCCAGCTAATCTCAGCCAACATCCTCGCCATTTGATGTCACACAACTCGTCCCTCCCGCTTTTCCTCTTCTTCAGCTCAACCTCCTCCGTTGACGAAATCTGGCCCGCCCAAGACAAGTCTATCCGAGACATATCCTCCTCGCTAAAGAATGTCTCACCGCCGCCGCCTCTGGAAGGGTAGATCTCGACCAGAGGCAGACACCGACTAACCCGAATCTCGGGAGCCTCAAGCCACGGAGCTAAACCCGCATCGCAACAGTTCTGCGAGGAAAGAGGAAAATGATTGGCCTGGTACGCAAGAGGCGGGCAGGGAAACCAGTGACCGAACCGGTCCCCCCTTCCTGTGAGAGAGCCTGCAGCGCCGTTTCCGGGTGTGACGGGGTGGAGGGAGCGGACGCGGGCGGGCTGCTTTCGGACGGCGTCGTCAAAGAGCTATGCTTATAATGCGGGGCCCACCTGTGTTATTCGGTTCAGCGTTAGTGTGTGACCACACTTGACTGACTGCAGCTGACCAATGTCAGAACAGTGATGATGGGCGTGATGGCGGATTGAGGCTTGGGATCTGAACGGTAGTGGTAGGTATTTCGTACGGGCGGAAGATGGCATGGCTGGTTGTCACACAGGATCTCCAGAGGCTTGTTGCCTCTTGCGCCGGTGGACGTTTGGGTACGGCTGAATTCGATCTGGTCAGATGGGTGTACGTCTGCGCCTCCGTTCCTCTGACGTTAAAGAGAAAACGAGAAAGAATCCACGCAATTTCATATCGAATAAGCACACTATTGCAGCATCTTCTAATTGCTCTCCAACACTATTAGTTAGATGGAGGCACGATTGCACTCACTAATACCTTGTTTCGAGGAGATTGGCGCGAGGGGTCAACTCCAAAAAGCTTCACGAGACTGTGCCAACTCCAGTAGGTACAGTCCTACATTCAGTCAGCCAAATAGTGATTAGTAAGGCTTATATCCTTACCGTTACCCTTCGGCATATACATTAATGCCGAGTACGCGATAAGGAGGATCACGACCCCGCGGCTATTTAAATACCCATCGGTGCAAAACTCCCCGATGGCTGCGTACAACATTGATAGTTTGCTGATGCCTACTGTGCTTAGCACTCTGTTCCTGATCTAATACAGAGCGGTCTCGACTCTCGCGACCAGTGTCTTCCCTGTCTAGATACATGTATCTAGGCTGGAACACGCTGGAATATGGACCGAAGTGGGCTGTAACTTCAGAAACGCGGTTCCATATACAGCATTGGCAGTCACGTTATGCTATACATATTGCTTGTGATATCATCCGTTTTGGTCACTGAATACTTATAGATTCCCCTGGATCACGTCTCAGTGACTTGAGACTCAGGTCTAGAGAAAGATATCTATCGTAGGAGCCGATCTCGGTCGAGCATAGACCGACAGGCTGTGTATTAGAGTTTTAACATGACCAGTACTGCCTCAAAAGCAAGGCTATAGTGGTGACCGTGGCTACTCTTCATGATTGAGCTTCGGATAAAAGCATGGCGCTGTCGTGAGGGGAACCTGATTACTCGAATGATGCTCGATCGATACATTTTTGTCAAGTAGCTGCCGGTGGGATCAAATTCACGAAAAGTAGCCCGCCGCTCAAAGAAACAGAATCGAATGAAGATAAGGTAGGTAACAGAGGCATAGTGCAGGTCACTCTCAAGCCGTCCGCACTTTTCTCAACATGGCGCCGTACCCGAAATCTTTCGCTAAGCCTGGGTAGAGGTTTATCTATGCACCACCCAGCACGCCCTTCCAGCATTTGACAGAAGAGGAAGCCAAAAACTTCGTGGAGCATGGCTGGCTTCGCGTCGAAAACGGTATCGATCCAGGTGTTATACGGCGGTAGATGAAGGATCTTTGGGTCCGTTGCGGGTATGATGCTGGCGACAAATCCACATGGGCACAGGAGTACCTTCACCTGCCCTTCCATCGGCAACTTCGTTACGAGAAGTTCGCGCCAAAGGCGTTTGACAAAATCACGGACATCATCGGCGGTGTTGAAGCCTGGGATGACGAGCGAGAACGCTGGGTGGAGGACAATTTTGTGGTCAACTTTGGTTCCGAGACCAGGTCCCGAGAGTCAGACAACGTAAAATCGCCCAAGCAGAAAGGCGGCTGGCATTGTGACAATGACTGGTTCCGACAACTTCTTGACTCCTCAGGAACAACGTTGACGGTCATTAACTGAGGTGCTTCACGGATATTCCACCAGGAGGCGGAGGTACTCTATTATGCGAGGATGGCTTACGAGGTATGAATCCATTTCCAGCTGTCATAATCCACAATTACGTCTAGTTCGGACTTGATGGCTATTGAACTCTTGCTGACTACTTACCTTACTGCAGAGGTTTGCAAGCGACTTTACGACCACCCTGAAGGTCTCGACCCAGCTTTAACCGCTAATGATCTGACTATCGGCGTGCGCGAGTGCGAGATATCCCAGACTGTCGAGGCGAAGAAGGGCGACGTCTTCATCATCCACGGTCTGGTTCCGCACACAGCGAACTACAACTATCACCACTATGCTCGCGTCATCACCAACACCCATGTCACCCTGAAGGACCAGCTTCATCTGGATCGACCTGACAAGAATTATGTAGGTCATATGAGAGAAGCCATTATGACGACGCTAAGTTTGCATAGACCCTTGCGGAACAGGTCATTCTTCGAGCACTGGACCGAGAGTCTATCCCGGAGTTCAAGCCCACGCGCGAGCGAAAGTTTTGGTACCCTCGGAACTTTTGCTTCAAGGAAAAGAGGATTGAAGATGAGCTGAAGGCTATGAAAGATGCCGCAGCTGCAGAAGGACTGGACGCCAGCAACGTTGATAGCATTTGGGTGAGTGAGAAAGCTCGGTCTGATTTCGCGAGGACGAATGGGTTGTTGTTACCAGTGCACGAAGAGGCTGGATTTGAGACGACGCAGCACTTAATTCAGTAAGTAGAGAGATGTAGCGAACATATAGAGATGTCTATATGTCCCTCAGTCTATGCGGGTAATCTGACAACTTGATGTGGAGATGAGGACTTTCTTATTTCTACCGGCCAGAATCATCAATCACCGGCGGAATCTACGGTTTGGTTCGTACAAAAAGAATATCCGCTGCCGAGTAAATATTAACCCGTAATACTTTCAGTAAACGAGTTGTGTTTGTTAGTTCTGGATAAAGATACAGTATAGATAGAATTCGCTATCAGTCACGATACATTTGAAGATATTGAATGACACAACCATCCAGGACTCATCTAGCTCTTTTAGGAATGAGCAGAAGGTCTCGAATTCTCCGTACTGTGTACAAACGCGAGCGAGGTACTCGCAAGGTCGTTTGCGGTTGCACGGTGATGTGTGACGGAAGAATGGCTTCCTCGGCTATCTGGTTCCCGAGCGGTTAGGTAATCGAGGATCGTGGCTAAGGAAGACGTCTTTGCTTTTGCGATGCTGTGAGTAAGGGTCCTTCGTCACCTCGCAGAGGTCGGCACATTCCTCGGAGTTATGCGAGTATTTCATCTTGCTGTGGTCCAGGCCACGGCCCGAATCATCACAGGCAGGCCTGGACCGGATCGAGGAATGTTACTAGTAAGGGAGGCAATGCCCGTTGCGAGCTCTAAGCTATCTTTTGCTCTTATGGCCGTAGTGTAATTTTACGCTTGGGCTGAGTCGGCTAGTTTGGCTCTTTGTTCAGGTTTCTCGATTCCCGAAGATCTTGGACCCTTTCGCGGAACGTGGTGCACAAAATGACTGCGGCACCTCCCACTCTAGGAAACCTTCCTCATATTTGTTGATCCATCAGAGGGCGATGACTTCGACGTGACTCTGCCTCTTCTTTTCTTCTTCCACTTGATTCTTGACGTCCTCCATTTGCATCCTTGCAACCTTTGCCTCATCGCCGTCGAAGACTTTGGCGACTTCTTCCAAAGTGAGATTCTTTGTTTCTGGGTAGAAGAAATACACGAACAAGAGATAGCAGAAGTCCAGGATCTTACAGACGAATCAGTTGAGGCAATTATGGAGCTGACTACAAGGCGAGGGTCACTTACAGTGTAGAACATGGCCAGTGTCCATGCATGACCGGCTGCTGTGAAGTTATCCCAAGCAATAGGGTTGGTATAGCTGAAGAACGCGTCGCATATCAGCATTGAACATGAGCTTGGGAGCCTCACTCATCATGTTATCTCACCTTCCTAGGACGATCAACCCCTTGACAAAAATAGTTGATATGACGCCGGCCTTCGCCCTGAGACTGTATGGCATGATCTCCAACGCGTAGGCTGCCATGACCCCGGTCCACGCGATCTGATACGAGAGACTGAAGAGCCAGATGAAGGCGATTTGGGGGTACCCAAATCGGGCAAGGTCGTGAGTACGCTCGAACTGGGAGCTAATGATGGTCCATCCCATGTACATGAGCACCATTCCCGTGGTGGCTGTGAGGAATAGTGGTCTTCTACCAAATCGGTCTATGCACAATGAGAAGGATACCGAGACGACGAGAGACAAGAGCGTCTGGCCGCCACTGAGCTGTTGGGTTTGGAAATGAGCCGTCAGAATGCTTCAGATGGAGGTTTTTGCTCAGTGAGGTAGATAGATACTCACCAGAACCTTGTTTGTCTGATCGCGAATGCCAGCACCCTCGTAAATTTTGTTGGCGTAGTTGGAGAAGAGATTTGTACCGCTGTACTGAGACACCATCGCCAGTGAGATCAACAACACAACCCTATACCTATTGCCCGCAGTCCGAACAAAGTCGAAGTAGCTGCTGGACTTTTTATCCTGGAACTCAAGAGCCAACGTCTGTTTCATCTCTCGAAACTCAAATACCACTGTCTCATTTGTCTTATCCCCGTTGCCGTGGTACGTGGATAGCATGTTTTCAGCGTCCTCGTAACGTTCCTTGGCGACTAGCCAGCGAGGTGACTCCGGGATCCAGTAAATGAGCGAGAGAACCAAGATGCCGGGGAACGCCTGAAGTATGGTGAGCGATCTCCACGACCAGTCGCTCATTATCCGAATGGTCGCTAGGGCTAGCCAGGAACAGCTGGTCGATCCGACTCCGTACATGCAGTTGACGATGGCAGAGATCTTGGCCCGGTGCTGAGGGTGCGCGATCTCGGCTATCAGGAGACCGGCGCCGTTGAATGAGCTTCCGAAGCCGAGAATGAAGCGTCCGGCCATATACACTTCATGCAAGGATCAATACTCGGACTACTCAACGGAACCTGCGACTCAAAAGGCTGACTTACTTCCTTCGCTGTTTGATAAAGCTCCTATGAAAGCGCCGATGGTCTCTATGACGCAACCGATAATGATGGGCATTTTTCGGCCGTACTTGTCTGCAAAATATGGGCTATGTGAATCTGGGTTTAGCAGAAGTCTCACACTGGACCGCAACTTGAGTCTTGTGGTCACACTCACACCATCCAGAAACTGGAAAGAGATCCGACATCGAGAATGGCAACGATGAGGCCGAGTCTTCCCCCTGCAGGATGATTGAAGGAGCTCTGCCACTGATCCATGACTTGTGATGTGTTCATAAGCTTCCTGCATCCCTTCGTCATGAGTATCTTGTTGTGCACTGGTGTTTTGGACTCCATGTGCAAGAGAAGGAGCTTACGCATCGAAGCCTGTCGATGCAGACATCATCATCAAGACACCACACCAGAAGTACAACTTCCTCAGTCCAGGGTCCTTCCACCACGTAACTGGTTCGAATTCAGGGGCCTCAGACCGGGCCGCTTGCGCCTGTACATGTTTGGCGTTGCGATTGAAGATATTTCGGGCCATCTTGCCACGAATTCCAAGTAAAGAAGGTGAGTGCTAGAGCAAATGACACAACGTATCGATCCTATATGTTCATCCGTAGAAGAGGGTCATGGGAGTTTGCTAGCATTTAAGCTCATGGAGTCGACGATCTATTAGTCGTGACCGGATGGTAATGTAAGAAGCTGAGACAGCCGGACGCTAGGACTGCCGTAACCTTAAATCATCAGAGCATTCCAAAGTTTGTTTGATGTGCTGTTTTCTCACAAGAAGATGGAAGATGATACATGGGCGAAGATAATTGAAACTGAGGAGTCACGGGAACAAGGGTCAACCCTGTGCGTACTTCGATCGCAATCATATCTGCCATCTCGTATCTTTGAGGCATCAGACGATGCATCGGCGGACAATGAATTAAGTCGCACTGGATTTTGGTGGTTCAGATTCTAGATCAAGAGAATACATGTATGTTCAATAATCAGATAGCCGACTGTGTACGCTGAAATAATACGACATGCCTTTTATAACAGCTTCCGCTTCTGGATCTTCACCGTAGCATCTCTATCAAGACTTACGACACCTCGACACTCCGCCCCCTCCATGCCCGGACCTCTGCTCGCTGGTGAACCATCTAAACGCGACCAGCGCACAAACTCCATGTCGAAAGTGGTGACCATCATCGCAACCGCCGCTAGAATCTCATGCTTGGCGAAGAATCTCCCAGGGCAGATGACGCTCCCACCACCATACGGACAGTAGTCACCCAGCTTGACTTTGCGCATTTCTGGCTGCAAGAAACGCTCGGCCCAGAAGTCGCGTGCCGGGTGGCCTGGGAACGCCCATACTGCCTCGTCGATGTGTGATAGCCAACTGGGTGCCAGGATGAAGTTGTCCTTCTTGAGCGTATATCCGTCAATCTCGATGTCTTGCCGCAGACGCCGCGAGATGGGGATGCTCGAGCGCAGACGCAGGCATTCGTTGTATACGGAGTTCAGCAAAGGCAGAGCCGCTAGCTTTGTGATATCGATATCGAGTACTGATGTCATATTCGTACCGACGACCATTGCAGTCTTCACCTCGGCGCGGATTCTTGAGAGGAGTTGCGGGTCTCGGACCATCTCGAATAACATGTATGCGGTCATGGGAACGGCGTTAGCATTGATGCTGTTCAACGGCAGAAGTTAGCAGATGACCATGGGAGAAAACAACAGGAAAATATCGGGGGTCAGGAGAGATAGGAAGAGACACCACTCACGCCCAAATGAGGCCCATATGCATTGCTGCACGTCCTTCGAAGCTGATACCGTAATCAACAAGTGCAGCATTTCGCTCACGCACAAGCCTGTGACCAAAGTTCTCTTCCCAATCAGCATCGCTGTCTGGGGGACAACCAGCAGTTGCTGCCGCCAGCCAGTCTTTGGTGGCTTCAAGAGTGCGGTCGCGCGCTGCCCAGCCTTTGCGACACACTAGCTTTGGCAGCCCCTGCATGAGTGTCATGAAGGCAGCATCGTAGTCCCAGAATGTCTTGGCTTCCAACGAGCCCTTTTGGAGAATTCGCGGACAGACTAAAGTAATGGTTGATGCAGCGAATTGGTACGTCTGTAGGAAGTCGTATAAGCCGACAATCGCTGGGGCTGATGCGCCTTCTGGACAAGTCTTGAGCTGTTCGGAAAACTCGAAGACAAATTTGGCCGTCAGAAAGTCTACGGCTGACTTTTCCGTAAGGTTCTTGAGGTATATCCCATGAAGTATGTGCCAAATGCGCCCTTTCCCTACAACGCCGGTCTCAGACTGGTTGAGAGTACCAGCCCCTGAGTCGTCCATCCCCAGAAGGGCGGCATCGCTGGCTGGAAGGCCTTTGACCTTGTGTGCGATACGCAACTGCATAAACTCGAACGAAAGACTGCTAGACTGTCGAAAAATTGCTTGAATATTCGAGGCGCCCATTACGAGGTACATGGAAATAGGACCTAGACGCATAGTCACCGGTCCTTTTGTTGGTCGTTTGGCACTTTTGTTACGGTAACGTCGATCAGCATGATGGCCATATACTCAACATATAGTACTCAAGAATAAACTTACAGCGTTTCCTCATAGAACTTATGAGGATCTCTGATCATCTGAATGCCATTCCCAACCCATGGCAACCAATATGCCAAGGTAGGTGGCTCATTTCCTCGGAATTGGCGGTTCTTCTTGCTGCTAAGGTAAAAACGGCATGATGTGAAGATGTAGGTGCACAAGCAAACACCAAAGATGACCAGCACAAAGTATTTGAAAGCGTGAACTACAGGCCAGGAACTGATCCTCAGTAGAATCAATTTGAATTGATGAGTGAGTGGGAACTCATGATCGTCCATGGTGGAATTTCGAAAGCTCGTGATGTTGGCAGGTTGCCGAGTCACCTCGAAAACCCGAGCCAGCTCCATTTCCAGTAGTCTCCTAATACTTCAGTGGATTCAGTTCTCGTGCTGCCGCGCGGAGGCTTGAGCTTGACGACTTACACACATGCTGCTCAGACTTTGCTGAAGGATGATACATAGTGGCACCCGGGCTGCATGTGATTGTGGTCATTTGCTGTCGAGTAAGAAGCACTGTGTCCCACAGACCGTAAAGGATTGTATTCCCTGCCAAAGGCTTGGATGCTATTCCACCGGATCTGGGTTAACGGATTCAAAAGTGGCCGAATTGCCCCGAGTGGCATTAGAAGTCATACGGAGCACATCTGTTTCGAAGGATTCGGGAGTACGACGATGCTATCAGCCTTACCAATCAGGTGTATGTCCTCTTTGCCGAAAGTCCGACCCACCTCTGTCATATGTACTTGACATGAGCCATGGGAGCGGTTCTGGACTCGGTAATCCTGGTAGGGGAAGGGACGCGATTTACACGGTGCAAAAAATCGCTAGATGATGTCGATGTAACGATGTCTACCAAGATAGTAGCTGACATGGGTACATGTGGATATGTGTAATGGCTACACTTGCTGATTAGTGTCAGCGGCCATGCTAGTGGTTCTGCTGCCTAAGACAACGAGACTAGTTTGCAACCCTGCATTCAGAATCACGATACTTGGCATAAGCACTGTGAGCACAGCCAAATGGACCCGCAAAGTCAGTCGCGCCATAATGATGTTGGATTGCACTGTGTCAGACTAGGATTGCAGGGCCTAGGACCAATCCAGGGCACTCCGGATTGTTGATGATCCATAGGCCCAAATAAGGCAACGCTAGGTTAACGGAGGTGACCTCCGAAGTGAAGGAAGAAAGAATCATCACATCGTGGCCATAATCTGTTGGGCAAGTCCAAAGAAAATCCAGATGGCCACGGGTGAGAGGCCAGACTTAACCACAATGCCAAACAGTTACTCAACTATCATCATCGGTGCAGGAGAATCTGGAATCGCCGTGGGTTGTATGCTCAAGACCAAGCTGGGTACTGACGACTTCCGAATATTCGACAGACAGAACGGTGTCGGAGGGGCATGGTTTGCCAACAGATACCCGGGCGTAGCCTGCGATATGTAAGTGGAATCAGTGTGTCGGGAGGCAGAGATGATTGACCTTTTCTGATCGTGACGTCGGATCTGACTGTTGATGTAGCCCGGCGATTTTCTACTCGTATTCTTTCGCCCCAAACTATGAGTGGACGACCTTGTTTCCTCCAGGCCAGGAGATCCAGCAGTACTTGGACGGTGTCTGCGACAAGTTTGATATCCACAGCAACATTCAGCTCAACACCGAGGTGTCAAGTGCTCGATGGATTGATGAAGATGCCGAGTGGGAAGTCAAGGTGACCAGTCTGAATCCCCAAGACAAGACTTCAGAAGAAGAGGCTCTCCGGTGTAAGATCCTAATTACATGCGCCGGTGAGCTTGTCGAGCCCAATCTTTGGCCGCAGCATGTCCCAGGAATTGAGTCTTTCCGAGGACAGGTCTTTCACACCGCGCAGTGGAAAGAGGATGTTTCCCTGACAGGAAAAGATGTTGTCGTAATCGGGGCAGGCTGCACTGCAGCGCAGCTCGTTCCGGCACTGGCAAGCCCAGAGATTGCTGCGAAGTCAATCACGCAGCTAATGAGGGGACCGCCGTGGGTTATGGCTCGACCTGAGAAACCTCCTCCGCGTTTGATGGAGGTTGTTTCCACGTTGCTTAGAACCATACCTGGACTAGGCTTGTTTCTTCGGCTTTGCCTCTTCTTGTACGCTGAATCAACATGGCTCAATGTCGGCACGGGCTGGTTCGGCAAGAAGCGGCGACAGTGGTTTGAGAAAAGACTCTCAAGTCACCTGCGGAAGACGGTGCCACCTAGATATCACGACATGCTCACACCACACTTTGGTGTTGGATGTCGGCGGATCATTGTCGACGGTGGATGGTTGGAAAGCTTGAGTCTCCCCAATATTGAACTTACCGACAGACCTCTGGTTTCAATCGAACCCCAGGGCATTGTATTAGGTCCTCGACCAGGAGAAGAGCGCTTGGAGTCCATCGAAGAGAAGTGCCACAATGAAACCATCCAGAAGCCCGCAGATGTCATTCTCTTGGCAAATGGGTTCGAGACTTCGACTTACCTCCATCGCTTGAAAGTGCAAGGGAAAAACGGCAAATTTCTTCACGATGTCTGGCAGGCAAATGGAGGCCCTGGCGCGTACCTCAGCACTGCAGTTCACGGATTCCCCAACTTTTTCATGGTTCTGGGGCCAAACTCCGTCAGCGGCCACTCATCAGCCATTTTAGCAAGTGAAAATGTGACAGGATATGCTCTGAACTTCCTCAAGCTTGTTCTGAGCGGACAGGCCCGTACTGTTGAGATTCAGCTAGAAGCCGAGCAAAGTTACACGGCTGATGTGCAGAGAAGGTCGCTAGACAAAGTCTGGCAAACTTGTCACAATGGCTACATACAGAATGGAGGCTGGAACAGCTCGATATGTCCGTAAGTCACGCGATAACTTTCCTTTCACTTGCTCAATCGTTTAAAAATACAAGCTGACGATTTGGCATCTTCAAAGCTTTAACCAAATCC